TGTGCTTCGCACATGGGAGTCAAAAAATCATTTGATGCAACATCTTCCACATTTTTATTTACAATTCATAATTTATTTGTTAATTTTGGACCAAATAGACATCATTTCTCATTGCACACAGAAACAGAAAAGTACAAGTGCTCAAATTATGTTAAACATTGATGTATAAACTTCAGTAGCAGCAATATGACTGGAAGCCTAATTCAAATTAACAGGTTTAATTACACAAGATCTTTAAACCATGTTTATGGAATGAATTTCAATAACTTACACCAAGATTATTGGATTCCATAGCTACTTGCATAGCACTACATCCGTAAGCCAATTCTTCAGCAATTACACTAGCATCAAGAATACTTAACTCTGGCCCACCTGAAACGAAAAAAATCACAATCACTTTCAGGTAGATAGCATATTTTGTAAATCAAGTCTTTATATTTATATGGTATCAAATAGAGTAAGTCATGACACTAATAAACTTGTCTAGAAACCAACTTAAATCCTCAAAAAATCAGACATTTTAGAACTATGGCATTAATATTACATTCCAAGAGCTTCTCATTGGTCGTGAGGAACTATATTTTGCAGAGTGTTTGACAAACATATTACAAGTATGCACAAATTATAGGAAATATTTGATAAATCAATTCGGTTCACCAATAAATTGTGCCAAATTACAACAAACCACAGTGAATCAGAACAGACGAAAACCTTGGCAAATCCATACATGTACACGTCGGAATACTATTTGGAAATTCAAACACATATGGGAAGCTGGTTGGTCACTGATGTTTGGACTGAAATTTATACATGAATTCCATATTTCATCAAATATTTTTTCATTGTAGTCACTAGACACCTCAGCTATTTATACAAGAATGATATTAAGCTCTAGTTTAATTAATTGAAAAACTATTTATAAATTTATCCTTGACAGTTTTATTTTACCGAATCCGCTCTGGATGCAGAACAAATTTGATTTTCAAACCATATAATAAATATCAAAATAAAGTATAAGAATAAAGTAAACTTCCAGATTTATCATACAAAAATCTTAAATACAAGGCTTAGTTAAGTTCTAAGGATGCAGTTAGATACAAGGAGAAACATTTTGGAACCAAATGAAATGACATTCATTATTGGCATCACTTGAACTGGGTGGTCATCTGTTTCATAGAATTGATTTACCATATCTCTGTGGAATGAGTACATTCATCAGTCCAATTTCCCATGCTTTTTTGAGAATATCAACAGGAAACTAAAATAAAATGAAAAACTATGTACAAATAAGCTTTCATGAGTGAGATATAGCAGGGTCCATAGCACCAAGAGCCAAATGGCTTTTCCAGATCTTTTCCCAAAGTTTCTTGCATTTTTCCAAGACATCATCACCAAAGCTCATCAAAGTTCTGAGGATATGGTAGTTCCGCGGAGAAAACAAATTTTTCTAAAATGAATTAATAACTATGAAGAAATTTAACTTTTCAAAGATTTTTTATTTTTCCTGTAATTTAAAGACAACTCAAAGACTTTCCAGACCTCAAAAAATCCAAAGACTTTCAAAGTATTTTCCCAATGCTATGGACCCTGTATAGGTCACATGAATGCTCACATGTCATAAATAATCAAAGAAACTTTGGAAGCAATTTAGGCGAAGGTTCTCTGAACCCGCCTATTCACATAGTTCATACCCACCATAAACTCGGGTCAGTCAAAATGACTATTTTGAATTGTAGGCATTAATCAGCAATTCTGCCGGTGACAGAGAGATAGAATCTAGGTCAGGGGAAGCCCCAAGACCCCAAGATTCTCTTTCCCTTACGTCCCAAACCACGTGACCGAGCCCATAAAAAGTCTTTTCCGAGTCCGAGATGAAACACTCTACAAAAATCACTCAACACCCTAGTTAAGACTCAAAAAAGGGTGGTGTCTTACCTTGCCTGTGCTGTCCCCGGAGCAAGAAGCCAAAATGCTGCTACGGTGACAGGGTTCGGTGTGCCCGAGAAAGATAGACCCCAACCCAATTCTGGGGGGTAGTAAGCTTTCGAAGTAAAGACCGAAACAGTTCTGCATGAGGGCATAGGCCACAAAGCAGGACCTGGGAGCTTCCAGGGGAATGCTTATGGTAGAGAAATCTGTTTGCGGTCGTTCGGGCTGGGTCAGCAAACCAAGACTGACCCGCTACGACGGGACCCAACTTAGAGAGACCCTTTTCAATGGATTCGGTGTCTCTTAGGTGGATACGTTCTGCGTTCTCCAGAAGCCTGCCCTCCATGTGTGCTCGAGGGGGGGGCGCCTGACGCTAGCACTAGTGAGTTAGCAATCGCACAGACCTCATGCGCTCGTACTTGGTGTCTCTGCAAGCTCTGTGTTGAGGAAGTTAAAGTATTATAGACCTCTAATACAGTCGCAGTAAACCACCTGGTTATGGAAGTTGGGGAGGCCGGCCTATCCTGCCTGCCTGGGCCATAACACAAAGATATGTGCCTGGCACCCCATTCCAAATCCTTAGTACAGTTTGGTGGCAACTCCGTGCTCGAACCGGGTAGAGAAGCAATTCCTCCTGAACCTCCCGGCAGACAAAATTTGACAGCCGGGGGATGAAGATCGGGTGAGGATCGTGTCCAGGGATTTGGCTCTAGGCGAGAAACCCAATTTGTGTCTGTACAACTTGATTGTCCATAATGGTGGTACATCATCCGAGAAGGACAATGCCCCCAGCTCTGGCCGATGCCTACCTGAGGCGAGGGCCAGTAGGAAGACTATTTTCCACGTCAAAAATTTGAGTGATGCTGATCGGAGAGGCTCAAAAGGCGGTCTGCTTAGAGCAGACAACACAGCCGTCAAGTCCCAGTTGGGCGGCTCCCTTGTATGGGGTCTTGGCATCTGGAAAGCAGTAAATAGTCTCCTAATAATAGGACAATCGGCTAGTCTTGTTCCTGTACGTTTTGAGTGGTGAGGGACAAGGCCGACCTGTAGCCAACGATCGCTGCGTAGGACAAACCTGCTTCATCAAACAGGTGGACGAAGGAGCCTGCTACCTGGCCAATAGAGGGATGGTATGGATCAATCTCCCTTCCGCTACACCAATCAGCGTATGCTCGCAGCCTAGAAATGTAGACGTTGTTGGAGTCCCTGTTCACCTCGGCCAGGATGTTGGCAGCCCGCTCAGATAAGGCTTTCGTATGTGCGGGTCCACTGAGAGCCTTATGCGTGTAAGTGATACCTGCTGGGCTTGTTGGTAGTCCGCCGGCAGGTCCGGTAAGTCTGGAACACTGTTGGTGTTTCGACTAGCATTTCTGACAGAAGTGGAAACTACTGTGTAGGCCTTGCTTGGCCAATTGGGTGCGACCAATGATAATATGCAGGTGTGCACCTGTCAAAGTTTTCTCCAGTGCCCGGTGAACTAGCGGGAAGGGGGGAAAGGCGTACACAACTAAGTGGGTCCACGGGGTTAGCAAAGTGCCCCTGGCCCAGGCTCCTGGAGTCAGCAGGAGTGTTACATACTTTGGAAGCTTGGTGTTCCGGGGTGCGGCAAACCCGTCTAACCTTGGACCGTCCCACCGCCGAAACAGCCTGAAGGCTACCCACTGGGGTATCAGCCACTTCGTGTTCTGGAGACGGAGCCGTCCTGAAAGGGCGTCGCCAGATTGTTCCTCACCCCTTGAAGGTGGTGTGCGGTTAGCTCCACATTGTATTTCAGGCACCAAAGGAGGATTTGCTCCGCTAGGACTGACAACGACGGGGAATGCGTCCTCCCCTCCTTCTTGAAGGAGACCACCGCAGCGTTGCCTGTGTGGAGCAGGACTCTGTGGTCTCGAACTACTGGTAGAAAGCATGGTAGTGCTAAGTACACAGCTTTCAGTTCGAGCCGGTTGATATGGTAGTCCCGAAACTAATGTGGGGGCCATATCCTTGGGCTTGTTGGTCCAATAGATGTGCTCCCCAACCCTGGGGGAGGCATCTGTTACCAGAGTCATACCTGCGACGAGCGGGTCCAAGGGGCCCCCCTGTCCGAGGTTGGCCAGTGAGGACCACCAGGGCAGGGCTTCCTTCACTTGGTCCGCGATCGAACGCCGCCTATCTAGTTCCCATAGGAGGGCTCAGCGTTATAACAAGCGTTATACCTGGCGGCTGCATACATGTAGAGCGGCCTGGGGAACGACCCTTTAAGGTCATTCCGATGATCCGCATTAGTTCTCGGAGTGACACTGAGGGAGCGCTGACTAGGCATTCGGCTAGGCTGCTTAGCCCTAAGCAACACGCTTGAAATAGCTAAGGCAAGCTTACCTCTGTGTCCAAACTCCATGCCCAGGGACACCAACTGCGCGTTGGGTCGAGGTGGGACTTGTCGATTTACTAACGAGCCCAACTGGTGAAGTAAATCCTGCATTAGCCTGACGCGTTTGGCTATTAACCCCCTGCCTGGGTTGTTAGTAACCAGTAGTCTGGGTACGGATTGAGGTGTACCGACATCTGATGAAGCAGCAGCACTACCGGTTTCATCACTCGGGTGAACACATAGGGTGCTGTGCCTAGCCCGAACGGGGGGCACCCAAAATTCGAATACTTGGCCCAGCTGGGCAATTCGAAGAAGATAGCAACTCGCCTGGTGCATCGATATGTGCAGGTAGGCCCCGCTAAAGTCTAGTGGGGCAAGCCAGTTGAAACGGTGGATGGAGAGAAGAACCCTGAATGGTGTCTCCATGTGGAACTGATCGAGGAGCACGTACTGATTCAGTCTGCCTAAATCCAGAACTGGACGCCCGCCACTTACTACGAACACATTTGGGTAGAAGCCTGGACTTAGTTCCGGCTGATGTACCCTGTGTATGGCGTCTTTTCCCAGCAAACTGCTATTTCCTGTCTGATTGAGTCCCCTGGCAGTGGCCAACAGGGGAGACACTGACGGGGGGAAATGGAGATTTCAGCGGTATCCCGTAACAGGATGTCACCACCTGCAAAGGTCCAGGGGTCAGTCTCCCGCTGTCTCCAAACCGGACTACACCGGCACAATCTGTGTACGATAAGGATATGTGGCCATGGGTTCGGCAGTTGTGAGGGGGGGTGCTCCCTTCCCCCATGAGGTGAGTTCCACAAGGCCTGAAGTAGTCACTAAGTTGTGACCTGGCCACTCGCCGAACACATGTTGTTGCACGTAGATGTGCGGTGGCCCACCAGTAAAATGTTGCCTGGTCTAGGAGGCTGGTACGTTCTGCCTCCCAGGTCTCCAGAGTCCTGGGCGCGCACAATAATGCGCTCAAGCAACTCTGCCCTCAGGGCAGGATGGGTCGTCTTCGATTGGCAAGAACGCCCATGAAATGCAGCTGTCCCCCTTGCCCGGTTTGCCAAATTCGTGGTACCGGGGTCTGGGGAAGGAGCCTTGGGATCCGGTTGGGGGCGTTTTGGTCTCATCCCACGCTATGGGGTCTGATCCCAAAACCGCACCAATTGGGTAGCGTTTGGTCCAGCGGGAAGTGTTGCCTAATGTTTTCCCCACCCAGTGGCCTTAAGTGTTACATCCTCCACGGCTGACCAATCTCCGCCCATCAACACAGTTTGCGTGCTCTGCGCCCCACTCTGCACTCGGCCCGACAGGGAGAGACGTGCCGATGGGGTTGCTTTGGATCCTGACTCCCGTGATCCCATAAGCGTTGAAGCAACCTTAGGTGGTCGCCTTAGGATCAAGGGTGGGGGTATTTACATTGTATCACTGGGATCGATGATACTCCGCATCACCCCAAAAGCGTGGCTCACCGAGTCATTACGAATGGAAGATTCTGAGGGACCGCCCGGAGTACTGGCTGTATCCGACACGAGCGAACTGCGTCTCCTTTCACTTTAAATATGTGAAAGGTAGCGTGTTTGACTGTGCGTCTCACGACAGGGTCGGTTCCCTCTGGAAGGAGTCAAACTGCGTCTGATCTACCCGGCCTGCCAAGGACGCAATTGCCCCGACAGTCCTTCGACCAAAGCCCTCAACTCGGAGGCAAACCCGGCGCCATGTGAGGAAGGGTCCACAAAGGGACCCGCAACGGGCCCCATAAGAGGAAAGCCTCCAGGGGCACAGCCTCGCTGCAGCCGGTAAAATCGGGTAAACCACCGCATGAAAAAAACAGACTGTGAGGATGCCCTCCGATCAGCGGGGGAAGACTGAGAAAAATATCAGTACCTCCATCATCGGGCCTCCTACTCGACGTCCTGGTACACGATGCACCGGTAGCCGAGTGTGAGGACTTCCCACTCATGCAAAACACG